AAAATTAAAGGGAACATTAGAAAAATGGATCAAAAGGCTATGTATGAAATTCAAATGTTAAGTTTCAATAAAAGATTATGTTTGCAATGCATGTAAAAAACAAAAAGAGTGTGAAAACTGCTAAGCACAGTGGCACACATCTGTAATCCCAAGCACTGAGGGAAGTTCAAGCAGGAGACTTATAAATTCAAGTCCTGCCTGGGCAACTTGGTAAGATCCTATCTCAAACTAAAAAATAAAAAGATCTGGGGAAGTAGCTCACCCTAGGTTCAATTCCCAGTACCACAAAAATAAAACCAAAAAGACTTAAAACTGCAAACCTAAAATATTTCTACTGGGCATAGTAGTGCACTACCTATAAAAACAGCACTCTGTGGGGCTGTGGTGGGAGGATTACCAGTTTAAGCTCAGTCTGGGGAATTTAGTGAAACTGTTTCAATATAAAAAATAATTTTAAAAAATTAAGAATATGGGCTGAGGATAACTCAGTGTGAACCCCTGGATTCAATCTCCACTACAAAAAATAATTCTTATAAATCAGTTAAGACAAAAGCCCAAGATACTCTAGTGGAAAAAAAGACTTGAAGAAGTACTCACAAGAGAGACTATTCAAATGGTTAATAAACATTTCAAGCAATAAATGTGTTTAATTCATTAATTGTAAGACAAATATGTTAGTTCCAAGCAGTTCTACTAGCATAGCTAAAACAAATACTATCAAAAGTCTGCAAGGAAATCAAGTTTCATACAGTGGTAGTACAACTTTAAATTGAACAACCACTTTTGAAAATTGTTGAACATTAACAATAGTTGTATATATATGTACAATCTGGTAATTACAGTACTAGCTACATTTCCTTCAGAACTGCATGCACATTAGGAGAGATATGGACAAGAAAATTCACTATACCACTATTTATAATAGTACCAACTTGAAAACAGTTTAAATATTTATTAACATAAATTGTAGTCTCCCCTTATCAGAGGTCTCGCTTTTCAAAGTTTTAGTTAGCTATGGTCAATCACGATCCAAAAATATTAGACGGAGAAGTCCCATAAAAATGGATGTTTGAAATTCATAGTAGCACAATAAACTCTTGCTCCACCTAGCAAGGGACATAAAACATCCTTCTATCCAGCATATTCAGTTTATATGTCACTCTATCCTGTTAGTCACTTGGTAGCTACAGATCAACAGCGGTGGGTATCATAGATTCTGTGTTCAGGTAGACTTTATTTTACTTAGAAATGGCTTGAAGTACAAGGGTAGTGATGGTAGCAGTTCAGATAAGCTTGAGAGAAACTGAAAAGTGCTTTAAGCGAAAATGTGAAAATTCTTCACTTAAGAAAAACTATAGTATGCTGTGATTGCTAATATCTACAGTAAAAATAAACAATATCATGAAATTGTGAAAGAAAAAGAAATTCATGCTAATTTTGCTGTCACATCGCAAACTCCAAAAGCTTCATCTACAATGATTAGTGACTAGTAAGTTAACATGGAAAAGACATTATAACTTGCAAGTAGAAGACAAGAACAGAAAATATGTTCCAAATGACAGCAACTTGTTGTTCCAGAAAATATTAATCTTGTATGAAGACTTTAGCAAGGGATACCTGAAATGAGTGATATCAAGCAGTGACACTGATTCAGAAATTAGTTTGGACTGGATAGACTGCACCTGCCAATGAAGAAGTTACCGCCACATTTTTGTCAGAATTGATTAAAGAGAAAAGCACCATTCAAAACATGTCCTCTACTATGATGAAACTGGGGCCTCATAAATGATGATGCCCAATAGAACCTACATTCATAAAAGTACAGCACATAAAACATGGAAGGACAGATTAAATCTGGATATGGCAACTAAGACATGTAAGTCAAGCAGTAAGAACTCATGCACTCTTGGAAAGATAGTAAAATATTTCTGCCTTTGTTCTAGCTGCATAATCAGAAAATGGAAGGGACAACTACCTTGTTTGTGGAATGGATCCACTGATGCTTTATCCCAGTTGAGGAAGGGCTGGAATTAACGTCTGATTTAATAAAAGGCAATACACCTGACTGTCCTAAATCTGTTAGCTATGAAAGCAAAAATGTGAAGTATATAAAGTTGTGCTTTAATCTCTAAATACAACCTTCTGATTTCAGCCCCTCTGTCAGGGTATTATTTGCTTTCCCAAATCCACATGTACCCACCAGCTATTTGATTAGCAATAGAGGCAGATCCTAATATGGACTTAATGACAGTACCAGAAATCATTTGCTATTGCTGACACAGCAGCATTCACTAAAGCTGCAATGGATGAGTTGAAACCAGACACTGTAAATGCCTCCTTGAAGAACTTTTGAAGTGAGGTCATAATAATTTTAAAGGCTTAAGATTTGATGGAGAATTTATGAAAATAGCTTGTGCAGTTTAGTGGAGAAAGATTTACTAATATGTTTGATGAAGTGGAAACTTAATGAAGGCTATCAAAAATTATAAGCAAGCAAGGAACTGGAAGAACTTTTGAGTCATCTACAGAGGAAGTGGGAGATGAAGAAACTGAAGTAATCAGCAAAAACTGCCACTACTCAAACTTGCTCAAGTGTTTCAAATCACAGATACTAGTGGACAAAATTACAGAATATCATCCTTGGATGGAACACAGCATTAAAGTCACTTGCATCATTGCTGAAGGATCATAATAATGTTTCCAAAATGTTTCAGCAAAATATACCTTCAACTACCAAAGATCCCCAATGACTGATATCATCTGTAACTGACATCCAATGACTGACATTATCATGGCTTGATGATGATCCAGAATCACCTGAAGCAGATGATTTTCTGGACACATCATTAGAAAGTGAACATTACACCTAACATTACACCACAATGCCTACATCATTCACCTTACTTTGTATATCAGATAGGCCCTGTACTATCTCCCATCATGACAAGAAAGATGAATGTGGCAAAATATTTTGAGAAAGACTACATTCATACAACTTTGTGAAGTTACAACTGTTCTATTGTGATTGCTGTCAATCTTTTACTGTGCCAATTTTAAAAAACTAAACTTACTGTAGGTGTATATTAGTGATGGAGAACCTTTTAGAGTTTTCAATGATACAAACAGCCTGCTGAGGCATGTGTGCCACTCCTGGTGTAGATGTTTAGGAAAAAACATACAAAACTTGGCATTCTCCCTGGCTTTAAGCATTCACTGGGAGTCACAGAACATATCCCCGAAGGATGAGGGTATACTGTATTCATATAATGGAATCCTACAGCAACAAAAGAATAAACTATACTACATATAACAACACAAATGACTCACAAACATGACACTACATCAGATAAGATGGATACCTAATTTATTATAGTAGTCATTAATTTTAGAAAGAGTGATTAAGAATAGATGTTAGTGGAATCTAGTTTAGTTGTAATGATTGGTTTCTTGGTTTTGATCATATGGGTGTATTCATATGTGAATTTTCAATGAGCTATATTCTCACAGGCATTTAAGCCACTGAGCTGAATCCCTGGTCCTCTCATTTATATTGCAATGAAAATATTTAAAGTATTATGGAACAATAGAAAAAATAGTAAGTTTCAGGTATTACTTTCTCCCTTTTTTTTTTTTCAGTACCAGGGATTGAACTCACGACCTCGTGCTTGTAAGCAGGCGCTTATGCCACTAAGCTAAATCCCCAGCCCCTCTCCCTTTTTTTATAAGCAAAGAAATGATTTTAAAAAGTGATATAAAATAGTAGGTTTATGGAGCGTAGTGTGAGATGCCACTGATTCTGCCAGCTTAATATAAGTTTTGGATGCTGTCTAGTAATACAGTTAATGTGTGTTCAAATATGTGCTAGGCTAGAAAAAAATTGTATAGAAATAAATTTATGTTCCTTGTTTGAGAGTCTTGCTATATAATTCAGGCTGGCTTTGAGCTCACTATATAGCCCAAGCTGGCGTCAAACTCAAATTTGCAGTGATACTTCTACTTCAGCCTTCTGAGTATTAAGATTAGAAGTGTGTACCACTATGCCTGGCCAGAAGTTTCTAAAGTTTTACTATGTTTCCTCTTCTATCCTCTTTTCAAATCTTCAAATATATTTTTAAATTTAGAGCCATGCTTACTCAGAAGTCTTTAGTAGCAAAGTTTCATGATAAAAACAAGGTTATTACCTATTTTTTCTTACACCAAATGATTTTGGTTCCCAGACAGTACCTATCACAACTAGGGACTAGAAATACTAAAAGATTTTTCCTAAATATTAGTGGCATACATTCAGTTTTGACATATTAAGACTACTAACTGAAAACCTATCATACATCATGCACTGTGTAAGTGCCATATGTTATTTTTAAAACAACTGAGCAAGGGAAGGTATTAGTAGTACCACTTACAGATGAGGAAACAGACTCAAGAAACTAACTTCTTGTACAACAAGTAAATCACAACAGATACTGAAATCTAAATCTATCTGAATGTATTTTCCATTCTCCATACCCATTATTTTCCCAGTAAGTCTCCTTTATTATTTCACCTCTAATATATTAAGTGTACATGGTTGCCATATATTATTCAGATGAATATTTTACTATTCAATTAATAAGTCTATTCTATTGCATTAAGTCACATGGAAAATAAAACACAAACATTCCACATAGGAATTTGAAGAATTCATAACAATGAAGAAGCCTCTTCAGAGTCCACTATTATTACATGAACAAATTTTAAGAAAATATAGTTAATCTTTCTAGTCTACTCTTGCCAATCAGAGAAAAAAACATGTATTACACGCTTAAGAAAACTTACTAAGAACAAACTTCAACACAATTATAAAATAGTAATGCCAATAGTGAAGACAGTATGTTAAACCAAAAGATAGAATTACTAAAAAAGTTTAAAATTTAACATTTAATATACATATTCCTGCTCCAAGATTTGTTTATGATCAATTTTCCAAATGCTAGGAACCCCCAAAACTCATCAAGACATACCTCTTCTGAGTCTTGTGATATGGTGGTATCTTCATTCAAAACATACTGTCCTCTATAAAATTCCCTGATCCTCAGATTGAATGTTTCAGTTTCTTTTTTCAAGGACTCATAACTTGGTAGTGTCTTAACAGCTGTATCTGAGCCTCTGAAAGGTAAAGACTCATCCAGGCTACTCTGAGGTCCCCGTAAAGGAAGGGAGTGATTATCGGAATCAGAGTTTATGTCATCTTCATCAAGTTCTTCATTAACTACACAAGTTGAAGAGGGTTTCAAACATACAGAAGCACACTTTTGGCCATACAAAAATCTCAAAGTTTCTTCTGTCTTCCACTCAATCAAAGTCTCCCTCAGAACTTTAAGTAAGTTCATCTTTGCAATTTCAGGACACATCTGCACTGAACTAGAAACTTGATTTGATTTGGCAAATTTCTTCTTAAAATGCGCAGCACTTTTCTTACTTATACCTACAAGAGTTACTTCTGATGTATTACATTTGTTTTCAAAATATCCTAAAGCATTTAATCTTGCATGTGAAGGATTTTTTGAAGAAATTCTTTCTTTTTGAAAAGGAAGTTCACAAGCAGCAGCTTTCTTTTGATTATCTAATGTGCAAATGCCTAACTGCTCAGTGACTTCTACTAGTGTCTGTTCTTTGTCTTTGAGTGCGGAGTTAGTTTTTTGACCAGTTTTCTTTTTCCTTATGCCTTTTTTGTGCAGCTGTGGCCCTGTACCCATTGCATTTGGCCCATTTCCTGGTAGAATGGAGGAAACAAAATCTTGTTCATTATCACTGCTATTATCACTACAAGTGGTAGAAGAACTAGATTCATATTCCTTTTCAAAATGACCAGGATTATCAATATCTGATGTTTTAATGGCTTTACTGTATAACTGTACTTCTTCTCCTGAATGGCCACTGCAAAAAAATGAAAGATAAACACAGTAACTATAACAGGAAAGCAAAATCTTCCAAGGTTATTTACAATTTGTAACTCTTAAGGTAGAAATTTTATTCCCTAGGCATACTCTTACTTATAAGTGCTGCTATATACATTTTAAAATGCTATAATTTTTCTATATGTAATATATATTTGATATAGTTCTTTCATCTTTCTTCTTTTTACCCATTTCCCCCATCCTCCAATTATTTTTAAATGGTTAAAGCAAAATAAGAACAAAACTTTAACAATTCTATTTTACTGAGTTATTTGAGTTTTTATCTATTGTTTCTGCGTCTGCTTTCAGTAGACATTTTTAAAAAGCTTATGTTTTGAGAATTTCATTACTGGCTTCTCAAAAAACACATTATAGGAACTCTGTTAAAGTTTGAAAGATAGAGGAATATTTTCTAATTCTCACTGTTTCATACAGAAAATTCCATAGAATGAAAAACACAAGAAAGTCATAGCAGAAAATAAAGTTGGCAAGCTAACATTTTCTAATAAAAGACATTTAAATTTGAAAAATTTTTGAGAGTTCCAACAGAATGACAACAAAGAAAGACAAGAGTTGTTCCTTTAACTATGTTTTTTAATATTAGATTTGAATAAGATTAGAAATTATAAAGATGGAAGGCAAAGAGTAGAGTAGCTTTGGTAATTCAACCTGAAACAAATTAAGGATGAGTAAGCAATTGTTTTCATGCAAATATACATAGCAGAACTTTAAAACAATAAAATGGGGAAGTTTCTGGGCCAAGAAAAATATGCTATGGGGAAGTATAAAATAAAAAAGGTAGGGAAAAGAAAGCTGAAAGCAAGTTTGTGGATGGGAATGGAGAAAAGATGACACACTTTTTCAGTATTGTCATTTTTAAAAAAGTTAGAATCTAATCAAATAGGGAACTATCATATAAAAAGAAAAGTAAGCATGATTTAAAAAATCAATTCAACTTTCATGTATTTCATACTTTCTCTCAGAACTTAAAAGCAATTTTATTTTTCCCATTCAAGGCTGAAGCTATAAAAAGATGCATTAATAAACGTCTTACTATGGTACCTATTATGTGTCTAAGGTAGTGACTAATAACTAGGACCGTTTATTGTGAGAGTCAAAGGAGATATTTGGATAGCCAAAGTTAGGCAAGGAATACTATGAGGAGGGTTCAGAAAAAAAAAAAAAAAATCACAACCTGGGATTTATATTAATGCTTTAGATGTGCTTTCAAATATTTAAATAACTGATATAACAATGTCTTGAACTCCTGTAAAATAAGATCATAAAGACCTTTCAACAAATGTAATTGGCACAATCTAGCTGACAAAGAAACACAGAATCTGAGATGGAGGTTTTGTTTGGGCCATATTTCAACATGTTCAATTAGACTTCCATAGTAGGAACAGCTGTACAATAAATCATACAGATCAAATACATCATTTTACCATCACAAAAGCTGAACACATCAAATATTTCTTTCTGTGCGTTAGAATAGGACACTTAAAATGCATCAGCACAGAAATCTAAGAGCTCATATCACTTAGGACACTCCTAATGTTTTTATTAACATGAATACTATATAGAAGGTAATTGATACTGATTTAACCATACCTTTGTCCTTCCTTTAGGAGCTGAAAATCAGGTTGTCTGTGACAAAAACATAGAAATAGAAAGTTGAAGGCAACTGACAGGTCAAATGCTTTCAAATGCTTTTGATAATTATATTGGGTAGACAACATAGAGAACAGTTCCAATAAGGATATTTTCTTCAAGCTGCTTCAGGGTAGCTTACAGTACATTTATAATACTGTTATATAGCCAATAAGTATCTTTAATTTCTGAGAAAGCAGTTATATTGTACTATGAGTGTGAATTATGAGGTATGATAAATACGGTGAATGTTTAAATGTAAAAAGTCCCATTAAGAAAAAGACAGATTGCCATTAATTTCCCTCAAGATATTCCTTTTTGCTTCAAAAACACTTATTCTATTGTTCTTGCTATTGTCTGAAACAGTTTTGGGAAGTCTTCTTTCTTGAGTATCTTTAGTCACACTGTCATGGCTGCCTTAATGTTACACATCAGTTAAAAACATTTACCTTTCACAGTCATTTTGACTTTGGGCAAGAGCTAGAGATCCCAACTAAACAGATCCAGTAAATAAGGTAGATGAGGCCATATTATACCATTTTTATAAGTTAGCTTTTCCATTGGATGGCACTCGGCACTATTCACTATTTTTTTGTTTTTGGACACAGAGCCTCACTTCATAGTTCAGACTAGCCTCAAACTGCCTACCTCAGCTTCCCAAATGCTGGGATTATAGGTGCACACTGGTACCACATCTGGCTCATTCACTATATTTTAAATAACATCTTGTAAAGACACTTACCAAAGACGATTTCTAGAACTGCTTCAAAAAGTGGTAAAGATGATGAAACAAGTATGCTCATAGCAAAGAGAAGTGTTTTGAAGGAGATTACTACCATTGTGTCTTATTGTAATAAATCTTTTAAAACACTTAAACATTTATAGTGTATATATATTATGATCACATACCTCATTATGTAGTTTGAGTGATTTACTTTAACTCTAAGAACAAATTGGCTATTCAATATCAGAAATCTCATTTGCCATCATGATATTAAAAAGGGAGGCATATTCTTCCAAACATCACAGACAGTGACATGCAGACACATACTCACACCAGACAAAAAAAGGAACAAATACCAAATGAATTCATAAGGACAGGAAAAATACTTCTAAAGTGACTCTGAAAATGCTACCTACCTACCTACCTACCTACCTACTTATTTATTGGTGCTGGGGATTGAAGTCAGAGAATCGTACATACCAGGAAAGTATTCTTTCACTGAGTTATACCTCCAAATCCCCAAATATGCCTTCTAAAAACTGAAAAACATAATATACAAAATGAAACTAAGAGTTAGGTATGGTGGTGCAGGCCTATAATCCCAGCTACACAGGAGGCTGAGGCAGGAAGATTCAAAATTCAAGGACAGGTTGGGCGACTTAGTAAGACTCTGTTTCAAATTAAAGATTTTTTAAAAATGGCTCAGTTCAAACACCAGTACTTATAAAATACATTGGCTGGGCATGGTGGCACACTGCTGTAATCCCAGTACTCGGGAGGCTGAGACAGGGGAATCATTCCAAGTTCCAGACCAGTCTGCGCTACACTGCGAGTTCCAGGCCAGCCCAAATTGCATAGGAACACCCTGTCTCAAAAAGCCAAGAAACAAAAACACAAACAAATAAACAAAAAACCCCCCTACACCCACATATCTGCAAACACACTTACTGATATGGGCCTATGTGTACATTACAGACAAGGTAATGCACTTGACATATAAATCTCATTTATGGCCCGAAGTAAGAGTCCATTGACTTTGTGATGCTGCACATTTTTCAATTAAAAGGTCATATTTTAATATATGAAGAAAGCCAAACTCCTTTGAATTATGACATTTCAAGGCTACCAGTAAAAAATGCGAGTCACAATTATTTTTCTGTATTAAACATCAACATCTTATTAAATATCTGTGTTATTAACATCAATGATGAAACTATTCTCTAGACAATACATTTGTCTTTTGTTCAAACACAGGAGGCATGATAGGGAACGGGCTCTCTTGTCAATCTTCTCAGTTGAGGAAAGCCCCACTAACTAAGCCATTCTTTCCTATCATAGTGCTTCTTAGTACCACAAATCAGGAGGCATATAGGGTTAGGTCAATTAGTTGCCATTCCTGCTCAGGAGATTCTTAAGCAGCTCAAGAATCTCTAAGACTAAAATTAAAAAATTAAAGTTGATGAGCACAGAACTGTTTCAAAGTGATTTACTTTTAATTTTCCGTTACCTCTTAGCTAAGAGGATGCTCTTCCATGCATTCCAATTATCCTATCTGCCCACTGCTTTCCACTCAATAAAATTCTAGTCATAGCAGCTACCTATAATTAGCTAGTCACAGACATGATGGTAATACTAGGAAAGACGTGATAGTAATACTAGGAAAGACGTGATGGTAATACTAAGAAAGAGTATCATGTTATAAGTCTTGAAACAAGTACAAATAATAGCTGTTCAGCAGAGAAGTCCACATGCCCTCTCCAAAGGGACTGTTTTACTATAATTTAAAAATTGGGCTGTGTAAGTTTTCATATTAACTGTCAGTCATATAAGCTACTGTAATGGTAAAAAAAATTTTAAATCACAGTTACACCAAATAATTCAAGACAGTATCTGTTAAGTTCCACAAGAAATGCTGCAATAGTAAATTAGAGACGAAGGAAAAACTTGTTCCTGAGCCAATCAAAGTTTCAGAGAGGAATCATTTCAGTTGGGCTTATAAATATAGATCACTTTGTACAGGGGGGATCTATGAGGATTCTCTCTACCTTCTGTTAATTTTTACAGTGAACCTAAAGCTGTTCAAGAAAATCAGTCTACCTGAAAAGGGGGAAAAAAAAGACATCAGTTTGTATACAAAGGCTGTTGAAGTTAACCCTATGAATCTTGTGTTGGGGTTTTATTCACATAGTCACACTCCTTCCTTTAAAAAAAAAAATGCTGTGATGCTTAAAGCTACTCTACTTCTATAAAAACAAAAAATCCTAGCCCTGTCCTTCAACCACATAGGCTTTTAACCTCATTTTGACCTCTTTGTCTCCCCCAGCTTTGTTCTTCTGGATTGGCAGACCTTTATATGTTTTTCTTGGGTCCTGTCAGTAAAGAAGACTGCACTCATCATTTTCAATTCCTTTATCTTTTATTCACTTATCAATTCTCTGCCTTGTGGACTCTATACCAATCACTCCTCTGAAATGGCTCTTGGTAACTTATCACCAATTATTATAAGATTGGTAAATCTAATGGATATTTTTCTTTTTTTGTTTTTTAAGGAGGAGAATCAGTATAAAAGGAAATCTCAACAGAGGGAGAATAAGTCATAAGGTAAAGTCCTGAAGAGAGAATATAATCACTAACAAAGAGGAATGTGATATATTAGCAATGAGGAGAAAGAGAAGTAGAGCCCATATGAAGAAAATAATATTGAAAGAGATGCTGCTCAATGTCCTCAACTGTTTCAATAAATCAGTAGCTTCAGGGTTTAGCAGAAAAGATCTGAATGTATCACATAGCTAGTAAGAAATGAAGAGGAGAAAATGGAGTAAACAATGGTGAACAAGGCCAAAAGAATGCAGAGGGTAGGCTTGGTGCCAGACAAATCTACTGGGCTTAAATGTCAAATTTCTCTATCTCAGCCAGGTATCCTTTCCTATATCACTACAAGCCTCCAAGTCTCAGTTCAACCATCTATAAAACAGATAATATAATATTTCCTTAAGAATGCTGTGAGAACTGTATTAAGTGAGATAGCTTAAAGTACTAATGTTCTAATTTGAGAGCTTCCTCCAATCATGTTTAGCAATCTTATCACAGAAAAATAAAATATGTCTGAAGCTTGAGAAGGTAGACAGGACAAAAGGTTAAAGGAGAAACCACCTAGCATAGTCTTGAGAAGACAAAACTGTAACGGCTGACAGGACCCAAGAAAAAAATATAAGGGTCTGCCAATCCAGAAGAACAAAGCTGGGGGAGACAAAGAGGTCAAAATGAGGTTAAAAACAGACTAATAGCTGCAGATGAGATGGAGGTTGTGGTCACAAACTGGAAGTTATTTTAAGATCTTGAAAGAATACCAAAAAGAATGAGATCTGAGTATGCCTAATCAAAATGTAAACTTTTTTTTTTTTTGTCTTTTTGGGACAGGGTTTTGCTCTACCATTCTAGCTGGCTTTAAACTCACTATGTATCTCACACTGGCTTCAAATTCAGTTACCTTTCTGCCATGGCCTCTGGACCTGCCGAGTAATGGGACTACAAGTGTACACCACCACACCTAGCATAAATGTTATTGTGATGCAACAACTTAAAATAGTTTTATGAGAAATCCCCAGCTCCACAACTTTATTCTCTCTTGGAGATGAAAACTCACTATGTTGCTAAGGTTAGCCTTGACCTTTGGAACTCAGATAGTCCTTCTTTCTCTGCCTCCTAAGTAAGTAGGCCTGCAGTACACAACACTGCACCAGGCCTGATATTTTTGAAAATTAAAAGCAAATCTAGTTTCTGAACATAAAAGAAAAATTAATATATGTAAGTGCCTACTACATAGTAGGTAGGTAAAGGGCCAGAGGCATTTGTAGTTCATTAGCAGACTGAGTGCTTAGCATGCACCAGCTTCTAGGCTCAAGTTACACAATTAAGTAAATAAAAATGTATTAAATTTAAAAGTTGTGATAAAATATATGTAACAGTAAATTTACTAATCCAACTTCAAAGAATCAACAACTGGGATCTTGTCTTATTAAAAAGCTTTTACACACCAAAAGAAATCACCAACAGTGAAAAGACAACATGGAATGGGAAAAATTTTAGCCAAATGGCCCTCAGATAAAGGACTTTTTATTGAGAACGTATAAAGTACTGAAAAACACCAGAGCCCCCCAAATTAAAAAACCCAAACCAAAAACAGGCATCTGAGATAAATATGTACTTTTCAGAAAAAATACAAAAGGCAAATAAATATTTGAAAAAAATGTTCAACATTATAGGTTGAGAG